GCGCTTTTATCTAATAGTTGATTTCAATCAGCTATTAGATAAAAGCACCCAAAAAGCCCCACTAAAGCAGGTAATATATACAGATGTTGGGTCAGGTGGGTTCTACTAACGTGATGCCTCCTCTGAGCGTGCTCTGGGCGTAGCACAGAAGGGTGTGAAGTTTAAAGTAAAGTATCATTGGGGGGTGGGGGGGGCGCTAACATCTGCAAGCAGCCAAGGTGTCTGAACAGCCTAGAGGGGACATCTGAAATAGTGAATGTGATAACATTGCACATTTAACTTTCTTTCTGCTTAATAGGAAGACATCCCTCGCCAACTGGTCTATATTGGACTTTATCTTTTTCATATTGCTGGAGCCTATATTTTGAAGTAAGTCCAGTCATTTTTTTAGCTTGCTTCCATTTATGTTCCATGTGAACATAAATAGATTATTAAGTGTTTTAAATATTTGGTTTGCTTTTGTGTTTTAGCTTGACTCATCTTGGACTTGTTCTTTTGGTGTTACATTACTTTGTTGAATTCCTCTTCCACATCTCCCGCCTCTTCTATTTTAGTGATGAAAAATACCAGAAAGGGTAAGTAGTTACAATTTTAAACCCTTTATAACTTCTTTATTGACCCATAAGCCTTGTGCATGTGTGTTAACAGAAAGTCTTTGTGTCGCTTAACAATTAAAAATTGGTTCAGTTAGAACTTGCTTAGCCTTCCATTCATTTACACTTAAAATCCTGCCTTATTAAATAACGCTACTGTTTAAACTTAAATTTTTGTGTTTTGAACACTACTTGTTTTCTTTAAGATTATACGATTTATTCCTTCCAGTAATATTTAAACTTCCACTGTGACTACATTTTTTTACTCTAGTAAATGTGTAAATAAATATAAAATATTCTGTGTGCATTGAAAGTAATTTAATACCTTATGTGAGTATTGATTTTTTTTTTTTTTTTAAGTTTCATTATCCTTCTCAACTGTAAATGGATTCTAAAGTAATGGGAATAAACAGGAAGACTTAGTTTGGGACCTGGTCAAAATGATAAATTTATAAACTTACTGATGCATGATATTTTTTTTTTTTTTCTCCCCAGGTTTTCAGTGTGGGCAGTTCTTTTCGTTTTGGGGAGACTTCTAACCTTGATTCTCTCTGTCCTCACTGTTGGCTTTGGTCTGGCTAGAGCAGAGAATCAGGTGCTGGATTTCAGTACTGGAAACTTTAATGTGCTAGGCTTCAGGTACTGTAAAATTTAAATTTTAAACATTGCGTTTATATCTACCTTGCATTTTATGGAGTATGTTATAGTCAAGCTAGAAATATGGGTTATTAATCTGAACTCTGCAGACATCAGGTTTGTAGCTCCTACAGCAAAGTAATAAGGCATGCATATGACTCTCAGCAAAAGTTAATAACTGAAGAATCCCTGTACTACAACAAATCATAATGTTGGTTGTCATGGCAGAGAAGAGCAGTTGTAGGCTTAAAATTACTGTTTCGTATAAAAACAAAAAAAAACAAACTTGATTTTAAAATAGTTAAGAAATTAATTTATTGGCATTATGACTTAACAGAGCTGTGGCCTATGTTGTGCTGAGAGAGAAAATGTGGTAAGATCCAAAAAATAAAGTTGCAACATGGAATTTGCTAGTTTGCCCAGCTTACAAGGGCAAAGAGACATGCATTTTTTCCTTACCTAGGAAAATGATCTATAGCATTTTCAGATCTTGGTATCCATAAATCTTAACTGCAGATTATGGATATTTACAAATACCTAAAACATAAGGATTTTACAGCAGAGGCCTAGAGTATCCCCATCACTTGCTGAGGGTGTTTCCATACTGCCATGATAGTGTATTTTGGTGAAGGCCCATGCTGTTGTCATATCCTGAAAGTTGCTGTACAGTCTGCCTGACCTTCCAGTTTTAACTGCCATCAGCAGGGATCCTGGCTTTCTCTGATTTAAAATCGCAAATTCTCTGATTAAAAAAACCCCAAAATCCATTATTAAAAATTTTAAAAGCCCCTTGCAGCCCCCCAGCTCTGCTGGAGGGGGCCCCCAGCAAGGGCTATGGGGCCAGGGGCCCAAGTCTGCAACTCCCTGCCCCCAACAACAGGCAGCTGCAGCAGAAGCAACATGGAGCCGGCTCTCCCACTGCTGCCACCTGCTCCGGTGGGGGCATGGATGGCTCCGGCCCCCCCTCCCCAGCCCTGCCAGAGGGGCCCCCAGCATCCTTCAAGCCCCACTTACCTCAGGCTCTAGGAGTGAAGAGTGAAGCTGATCTGAGCGGAGCTGTGGCTGACAGAGCCTCAGGCCTCGCCCTTCCCCCACCCACTCCGGGCAGGGCTGGGGGTTTCCTGCCTTGTTTGCAAACAGCTCTTGCAGGCTGGAGCTCAACCAGCCTGCAGAGCTGTTTGCAAAAGCAGGGAAGTGGTGGGATTCCCTGCTAAAAGGAGAAATCTGTGTTTTCTCTGATTAAAAAAGGGAAATCCATGGTTTTCTCTGTTTTTCTGTGGGAAATGGAAAACCAGGATCCCTGGCCATCAGAAAGGAGCTTATTCTGGGGTCTGAGTTACAGTATGGAATAATGTCACAGCAGTAAAGAGAAGGACTGTTTGTTGCAGTATAATCTACTCATTTTCCCCAAACCATAACCCCATAGTAGTCTTGAGGATTTTATTATTTGGCATCATGGGAAAAGGAGAGAGCATGCCACAGAGCTGCGGCTGCTCCACAGATTGCAAACTCCAGGCAATATCAACTTTTAGGTATCTCATTTTGCTCTGTATTAAACCTGTATCCTTATTTGTACTCGCTTTCATTTCTCATCACCATTAAGGTGTATAAGGAAGTAAATAAATTGGTGCCAGACTGGATTGTGTTCCTGGAGAGGGGAGGAAAATCCAGTTTACATAGCTCACTGTTTCTCGAACTGGGATGCACAGCAAACTTTTAGAGGGTACAAGAAAAGGAAGAAATGGGAAAGCAGAAGGGGAAAGGGAAATTTTAAATAGACAGAAAGGAAATAAAACTAAATTACTCTCTTGGGTTGTTTGAGAAGTTACATTGTGGCTATCATGATATTTTTATTTTTTATTATCCATAAATAATATACTGCTATGTTCACCTTATGATTCCATAACAGCCATAGAATCCGGTATGTCTGAGAGTGACTGGCCTGTTGGAAAGAATTTGTAACTTGTCTTTTGAAAGGAATGCTTTCCATATGTCTGAGGCCCATATTTTGACAAATGCACGTAATCAGGCTATTTTATTTTATTTTTGGGAAACTTGACAAAATTGTTAGCCATGCTTTTGTTTGACATGTTTACATAGTTCTCTCTATTATGACCACCCTCTCTTTTGTAGGATTGGTGTACTGGCATCAATCTGTGCAACTCAAGCTTTTATGATGTGGAAATTCATCAATTTTCAGCTTAGAAGGTGGAGAGAGCATTCTTCTTCTCAACCCCCGTCACAGAAAAAGAAGTTTGTAGCAGCCAAAGGAAAGCCCTCCAAAAAAGAGAGAGGTTTGTATTGTGTGGGTTCAGTTCACTTTTGGTCCTCAAAGAGCTTCAGCAATAATTGGGATAAAAGCTATTAAAAGCTTATCTGGCATAATTGGGTAAAATGCTATTAATGATAGATTAATTGTAGTGGTGTTTTGAGGTAGTGTTGGTTGGTGAAAGTGATTAATTGCAAGGAAAAAACTTTGAAACTGGTCTCACTGTTTTACAAACCAAATTATGTAGAATATTACCCAAATATCTAAAAACGGACTTTCATATATTCACTGGATGTCTTCCAGTTTGTTATGTAAAAGGTACATCTATAATCTCTAGCTATTTAAGAATTTTCAAAGCCTTCCTTAAGCATGTGCTTTCACCTATCTCATGGGCTAGAAGACTGTTCATCAGACTTGCATATATCTGAATATTGATAAATTAATTTGTCATTTATGCAATTCTCATGAAGTTATAAGATTTTTTTTATCCCTAATATCATTTAAAAAAAGAACTTTACATTGTTTAAAAATATAAAATTAAAACGTTAACAGATATTTTTGTGTTAGTGTCACAGTTGAACTACTATAAATGTGCTCTTTGAGAACATAGCAGCCATGCAAGTTATTCTGTGTCTACCAAACTGTTTAGGGAGGTTGGGAAGCAGTCTGACATCATGACAGGTATGCATGTGTGTCAGACTAGTTTTATTGAAATAGTGATAACATCATCTTATGAGAGAAGAATTTGCTTTGCACTATTCTGAACCTTCAAACGAACCTTTGTAAACTGATTAATCAAGAATATGTACGTGTGAACTTGTTTAGTGTATATCTGGCTTGTAACTTACAGCTATGCTCTTTTGCCAGAGGAGTATGAAAGATGAGATGCATACTTTTTTTTTCTCCTGAATTATAAATTTAAATTGTACAATTTGCTCACTTCTTCACTAAAAGAAAGGACATTCAAGAAATGAAATAATTTATTAAAATAAAATATTTAAGATGTTTAAATTAGGTGTGTTCTATCTAGAGCTGAAAAGTAGCTGCAATCTACTGTAATAGCTCCAGGTACTTTTCTGCCTGAGCTATTTCACCCTGTGTCTTGGTGTTTCCAGACCTCTTATTCTGAAGTTTTGGTCTGAAGCTGATGGTATCAATTCCAGGAGAAATCAGGGGTTTGGAGAACCAAACAACAGCTCAGACACCTGAAATTCAGGGACCATCATTTTTGTCCTGGTTATACAATATCATAGAAAATTAAGGTTGGAAGGGACCTCAGAAGGTCATCTAATCCAAGGCCCTGCTCAAAGCAGGACCATCCCCGACCTAGATCATCCCAACCAAGGCTTTGTTTAGCTGGGTCTTGAAAACGTCCAAGGACAGAGAGTCCACAACCTCTCTGGGTAACCTGTTTCAATGTTTTACTACCCTCCTAGTCAGAAAACTCTTCTTAACATCTAACCTAAACTTCCCTTGCTGCAACTTGAGACCATTGCTCCTTGTTCTGTCATCTGTCACCACTGAGAACAGTCTAGCTCCATCTTATTTCAACCCCCCTTCAAGTAGTTGAAGGCTGCTATTAAATCCCCTTGCAGTCTTCTCTTCTCTAGACTAAATAAGCTCAGTTCCCTCAGCCTTTCCTCGGAAGTGATGTCCCCCAACCCCATCACCATTTTCATTGCCCTCTGCTGGACTCTGTCCAATTTGTCCACATTCTTTCTGTAGCGGGGGGCCCAAAACTGAACACAGTACTCCAGATGTGTCCTCACCAGTGCTGAATAGAGGAAAATAATCGCTTCCCTTGACCTACTGGCAACAGACTTACCAATACAGCCCTGTATGCCATTAGCCTTCTTGGCAACAAGGGCTCATATTCGCTCATGCTGGCTCATATTCAGCTTATTGTCCACTGTAATCCCCAGGTCCTTTTCTGCAGAGCTGCTGCCCAGCCAGCCAGCCCCCAGCCTGTACTGGTGCATGGGATTGTTCCATCCTAAGTGCAGGTCTATGCACTTGTCCTCATTTGAACCTCGTAAGATTCCCTTTGGCCCAATCCTCCAATTTATCTAGGTCACTCTGATCCTAGTCCTATGCTCCAGCGTATCTACTACTCCCCCCAGCTTGGTGTTATCTGCAGACTTGCTGAGGGTGCACTCTATGCTATCTTCCAAGTCATTGGTGAAGATACTGAACAAAACCAGCCCCAGGACCGACCCCTGGAGCACTCCGCTTGATCCTGGGTGCTGATTAGACATCAAGCTCTTGATTTCTACCCTCTGAGCCTGATGCTTCAGCCAGTTTTCTATCCACCTTACAGTCCATTCATCCAGGCCGTACTTCCTTAGCTTGCCTGCAAGAATGTTATGGGAGACGGTATCAAAAGCCTTGCTAAAATCACACCACATCCACTGGCAGACAAGGTTCCTTGGGTGAACTTGATATCTTTTATTAGACCAACCTAGATATCAAATTCGCCCAAGGAACCTTGTCTGCCTATGTTCTTAGACCAACACGGCTACAACCTAAACCCCTACCACATCCACTGGTCTCCCTAGATGCACAAAGTCAGTCGTCTCATCAGAGGAGACAGGTTAGTCAAGCATGACTTGCCTCTGGTGAATTCATGCTGACTGTTCCTAATCACCACCTTCTCCTCCAAGTGCTTAGAAATGGATTCCTTGAGGATCTGCTCCATGATTTTTCCAGGGACTGAGGTGAGACTAACTGGTCGGTAGTTCCTGGATCTTGTTCTTTCACCACTGTTGGCTGCTCACCTCCTCCTCAAACTGTGCTGTCAGGTGCATTAGTCTGGGAGCTAACCTTGCCTGTGAAGACTGAGGCAAAAATTACTTTGAGCACTTCAGCCTTTTTCTGCATCCTCTGTCACTAGGTTGCCTCCCCCATTCAATAAGGGACCCTCACTTTCCCTGATCTGCCTCTTGATTTCTACAAGTATGTCAGTAACCTTCTTGTTACCCTTCACATCCCTTGCTAGCTGCAACTCCAATTGTGCTTTGGCCTTCCTGACTTCATTTCTTCATGCCTGAGTAATACTCTTATACTCTTCCCTAGTTTGTTCAAGTTACCACTTTTTATAAGCTTCCTGTTTGTGATTTAGTTTAGTGAAGTTCCCTGCTTAGTCAAACTGGTCTTCTGCCATACTTGCCAGACTTTCTGCACATCAGGATGGTTGTGCACATTGGCATGGTTTGTTCCTGCAATCTCAGAAAGGTTTCTTTAAAATACAGATAAGTCTTCTGGGTTCCTCTCCCCCTCAGACTAGCTTCCCAGAGGATCCTGCCCATGAGTTCCCAGAACAAGTCAAAAGTCTGCTTTTCTAAAGTCCAGGGTCCTTACTCTGCTGCTTTCCATCATTCGTTTCCTCAGGATCCTGAATTCAATATCTAGCACAGTGGGATCTGGTTACTGATTTGGGATTTCTAGGTGCTATGGTAATGCTATTAATTGCAGTCTGTACTGGATTTCCAGCCATGGCTGCTTTCTGTTATATTTGGCTTGTACAAGTTATGAATGCTGAATGTTTTGATTGGGGCAACAGTTTTCAGCCAGGTTGCTGTAGATGTCAGGGGTAGTTTGAGATCCTTTCAGGGGCAGTGCAGCATAACAGTGCTAACACTGCATAGTAAGTGTGCAGATATGATTCACAAGATAAACCCAGCAATTTCAAATAGGAAATGTTATTAAAGACATTTTAGTGTGTTTGTGGTTTGAGCTCTTTGCAACAGAAGAATTGTTCTATTATTTTTCTGTAGTTAAAAATGAGTGAAAGGTAAGAGCTGGCATTTTCTAAGGGGTGCCTTGAGTCTAAAAAGTTTGAGAATCACTGGATTGAAATATACTCTCCATCAGCCTTTGCAGTGTAAGTAAATGGAAATTGTGTTCCTAAATCACTTAGATGTTTCTTCAGGTACTCAAAAAAGCAACCGAAAGCAGCAAGTTGCTTGTTCTTAAAAATGTTGGTCAGTGTTTAACAAAGTTACTGGTTGCTTTGTGTGTTTTTTGTTTTTAATGTATTGAAAGTATATAAGCTTCTTAATGCTTTTCTTAACTAGCAATTCTTAAGTGACAATGTAACAATTGTTTTGATTTTGAGATCTGTGTGCCTATTTTGAGAATCTGTTGGGATTAGAGCCTTCATTTTTTTTTAATACTTTTTTTTCCAGGCTTTTTAGCATTCAAATAAGATTCTCTTTCAATATTAGTATTTTTTTTATTATAATTTTAATGATAAAAAAACTTGATGTTACAATAGCACAAACTTTCAAGTTAGATTTAAAGAACCTTAACCTGACTCATTTCAGTGACTTTTTTTAATTGACTCTTTAATCACATGAATAAGCAATTTAAATTGTATAATTTGGCTGACTTCGGAGTAGTGAAATTCCTTTGAAATTGATATGAACCAGTAGGTGAATATTCATGTCAAGAGAAAATGTAGAGATACACCTAATTATATATTTGGGGAACAAACTAAAAATCAAGATACTGCATATGCTCTGGAAGTCCTCTGCCAATTTAATGTAGATGGGATTTTATATTTTAAAGTTACAGAGAAAAGAGTTCTTAAAAGCCCAGAAATTAGCATTGTTTTCAATCTTCATTCTGTTCTGAAGAAAAAGGTGGCTTAGGTGCATAGCAACAAAAGCTTGTTCACTTATGCTTATGTGTATCAAATGTCATGCCTGATAGTCTCTTATTTGTGAAAGTTACCTGTAGAATTTGAAATTTTACATATGGTGGTAATAAGCTGAGCTGATTTTGTGTGGGTTCTTTTAAGTCATTTGCTTTGTAGCCAGATGGGTTCGTGGCAACGACGTCCAACTTCTCTACAACCAAGGACCACGTACTGCATGGGCTGCTTGCAATGTAGACAGCTCCCTTCATCATATACGCAGCCTCTTCTGGCTGGGCATGTCACGTGTCACTGTGCAGCATAGGCAAATCAAGCCCTCCTACACTGCATGTGTAGCATGGGCATGCCAGCCTCCGTGCTACATATATCTCCCACTCTGTCACTGCCCCTTGCTGAGTACACAATATGAATAGTCCAGCCCTCTCCCCTGCCTCCCCAACTAGGGCACCCCAGGCCCCTCCCACCGCATCACCCTGCCTCACCCCCAAGAGTGGGGGCAGGAAGCAGAAGCCAGGGAGCTCAGAGATTCCAGCCACCACTGCATCAAAAGCAGTGAAGGGAGCATTAGTTGGGCAGAAGCCTAGAGGCCACTGCCAATTGGACAGCCCTGATTTATGGGATCCTAGTAACATGAGGTGCTTGTGTAAACTTTCCACTGGACTGAGTTAAGGAAATTGTGCAACATATCCTGGTAATATGGGGTGGTTCCCACTATTGTGTTTCCAGGTTAGACTGCAGATTACTCTCACTTTTTGTCTTGCCATCATTTACTCCTGGCCTCAAGTGAACGGAGCAAGCCACTATGGGACTACATAGTTAATATGGTAGCGTGGTCTAACCAGTTTGGATTTGAATGTTCATCTGAAATCAGATGATAAAGGGCTTGTTGAAAACCTAAACTGTGCATCAGAAAAAAACTCAGGGATCAATATATGGATACAGTTACTGGGATTAAATATATCTGCTGCTGTTGGTAGTGCTGATTTTGCTTAGAACTTTTTCAATGTAAGGATAGAACTTGCATATATGTTCTTGACTGAAAACTTGGAATACTTTCAGGAAAGCATTTCAGCTATCTTCAAGAAGGAAAAAATGAGAGGAAGTAATATTTGTCACCTGTTTTTTAATTTTTGCGTGCGCACACTCTGTGGCTTTCTTTAAACAGGCTAATTAAGCACTTGTCAAGCATCCAATTCTCCTGCTATTAGCAAGTCACAGATGCCCTTGTGGCTTTGTTATGAATTCACAGAACAAATTTCTTAAAAATATATCTTGAACATGTACTAGCTTTACAATAGACTGTTTTTGCAACTTTCCACAGCACTTCATATTTTAAAGAAGGTCTGAGAGTGAGGCTGATGGAAAAACATTATTAATAAAATATACTTTGTAGATATGTGTATAGTGATGTAAGTAATGTACCCTTCCTAAACTTAGACTGAGAACTCTTCTGTCACAAGTGGTAAGGCTAAAAATGATTTATACAGGTTATTCCTGGTGACTGCCAGTGCATCTCTCTTGGTGTAAAGCACTGTCTACCTCGAATCTTTCATTACGCTACAGAACAGCAACTTTTGAAGATGCTTAAAGGTTTTTTTTGTTTTGTTTTGTTGTTTTGTTTTTTTTTAAAGGAAAGAAAAGAATAACTGTTGTGAATTTTTTGTAACCCTCTGAATGGGGTGAATATCTTACCTAGATCTTCAGCTGTGCTGCTATAACTGCCTTGGATGAAACCAGCTCTTCGCCACCTTTCCTAGCCTAGAGAATAATCTTGTTATCCGGGGCCATGTAGTGGCCCTTAAAATCCCAGTGCAAGCAGAGAGCAGGGTGAAGTTGCACCTTGGACTAAATTGGAGAGAGAGAAGCTTATGTAAGCAGTATCTTATTTCATCAGACGCTATGAAGGGACTACCATTACAAACTAACTTAGAAATCCTGAGAACAGTATAGATACCATGAGACTGCATCAGTGGCTGAAGCAGTTTATGGTGTCCTCTGAAATTCTGGGAGAAGAAAAGACAAAGGTAGTATATGGTCTGTCTTGTGTATACTCTCACATACATGTACATGTACCAAGCTGGATTGCTGTAGAACACCTGGATGTGTCCTGCATGTTCTGAAGGAAAGACTTTTATGCATCAGGCTGCATGCTTTAAAAGAGAGAGGGAGGGAGGAAGGAGGGAAATCCTGGTGCACGGTAAGTTGTCAGCAGATTGTAGACCAGGAAGTAAAAGTTACTGTGTTTATCATATATTGCAGCGATTCTCAACTAGTGTCTGCAGCTGTAAGACCTTTTGAACGGTGCAGTGGGGTGCACACAACGTTAGGACTGACAGGTGTGCAAACAAATGCACGTGATTTGAAAGATGAAACCAGAGATTTCAAGTAGGCATCCAAAGCATCACAAACATTCTGAGTTCTTTGTGATAGAATGGCTCTATTATTTTCCTATAGTCAGTAAATGAGTGAAAGCTAAGAGCTGGCACTTTCTGAGGGGTTCTTTGAGTCTGAAAAAGATTGGGAACCACTGTTGTCTTTTATGGTTTTACTCTTCTCGTGTGTGTCACTGCCATGTAAAGGAGTTGGGTCTTTTACTTTGCTATAAAGAACTGTATCTTTCTACAACTTAGTTGAATTTGGATTTTAACCTCAGTCTAATTTACACAGTAAAATATTCACCTTCTGGTTATCTTAAGCAGCCTGGGATACTAATTTTGAGAATAAATGTCAGTCTTTACACTTTTTTCTTTTCTTTTCTTTTCTTTTCTTTTTAACGCTCACATTTGCTGCATTATGAAAATCTTAAAGCATTTAGCAGAGTAATATTTGGGAAAATAAAATTATTAAGGCTGCATGTTTGGTTAAAAACTACTTAAAGTAATGAAATTGTGAATTATGTTGTTCTGATTGAAAAATAAATCAATGTGTGTTTTTTGTTCCTAGAAAATGGAGTAAATGGAACAGTAACCTCAAATGGAGCAGACTCGCCTCGTAGCAGGAAGGACAAATCCTCGTAAAACTGAGTTTTATTAAGTTAATTGACTAATGTCCCCAAAGAATCTGCTTTTTACTCTGAAAAGCCCTTCAGTGCTAGAGATCTCACTGATGCAGAAATACAATTCATGCTTTTTGATTATTGCTGTCGTATTGTTTTGTGAAACTCTTTTTGAAACTATTTTGACTAAGGAAGTTTGCCTTCAAATATTTAGGGGGCCACAACACTTTTTAAACAACATTGAACACTTTTTTTAAACCTTTAGTGTGATGAGATATTAGTCGGTGACTTCCACCTACTGAATCAAAATTCCACCTACTGAGGATCACTGAGACAATGAATTCTACCTGCCAGTTTTTATAATTTTGGTGAGAGATGCTGTTCCAGAAATACCACATTTTCCAAGATCTCTAAGAAGTATCGCAAAGTTGAAGTAAAACATTTAATATCTATTTTTAGATATTTTAACACTGCAGCATACTACTTTGATTTCCATTTACAGCTCAACTTGGATTTGTGTGACTACCAAAATGAAACATACGTTATTTTGTAGGTAACAGCTATGATGTTTGATTTAAGAAATGCCCGTTTCATTAAAACAAAATAATTGGTTTGAAATGTTGCAGAATCTTATTGTCTATGTTGGCTAGAAATTTCTTGTGAGGAAAAATACCTTTCCAAGGTATAGCTTTAGCTCTTGAAAATTAGAAGAGAGAATGTTTATTTTAGAGGAGTGATTTGCCTAGCACTATTTGAATAAGTTAATTGAGTTAACTTGTAATAATTGCGCTTATACAGTCTGCATATCTGAGAGCATTGGTGTGATATTGGACCCTTTTTGAAAACTCACTTTGTCTACAATTTTTAGATAGCATCTTTTCTTAATGTGTGATGTGATTTAATTTAGAAGGTAACTGAAAGGCTCCACCAAGAGCAAATCTGTTTAAAATAATCAAGTTGCGACAAACATTCCTTTACTCTAACTCTTTTACTTTGGTTCCATCTCTAATTGGGAAATGGTTCTGTTTACAGCATATATTTTTTTGATGAAAAATATATATTTAAAAGTGACAATGGGGGTCTTTGTCTGTTTTGTTTTTCAACAGAATTGTTGGTGTCATTGGTTACTCTTGAACTATCATTACTTAAGGTTACTTCTACACCTGTCTGTCTTAGCTTTAAGTGTGAGGCCTTGCCCGTTTATTATATTTTCATTTTAATATTCAGTTCATGTTTGCATATTTTTGTTTTGTAATAATATAACCCCACCCCAGAAAAACTTACTTAAATCAACATTTTAAATGAACTTTTCCGTTGAGTAGGCTTTCAGTTTGACACAACTGCTAGACTGCTTTTTGATAAATAGAAACCCTTATGAGCAATCTTAAGTTCACTGAAACAGAATATTTGTAATTATAAATTGTGAGTATAGGAAACTATGCTTTAATACCCAATGAAGTAATAAAAAATATTTAATCTTTATATTTATTCTGTATCTTTATTTTCCAGTTTGGTTGCAAAATAACTTTTTATTCTGTATATTTGTACAAAACTTGGTCTATGCTTAAGTATTCAGTCCAGGTGCCATTGTAAGATTACTCTGACATGCTTTTTGTGAATTTTAAATAGGCTATCTGACAACTCTTAGGCTATGTTGATGTCTTTGCTTCACACCACCTCCTATTTCAGAGCTGCTGGCAGGCATTCATCTGTTTACAGTACTAAGTCTGTTACAGGGCCGTGTACACAGAAATGTGCCAAGTCAGCTTCTAGGGAAATAACAATATCACGTATTGGTTTGAAAAAATTAAAATGGTTTAGCTTTAGACTTGGAGAGAAGAATTCCATTGCATCTAATCATGAAACTGGAAAATTGAGGTTAAAAAATTAGAATAATGTACATTAAATTTTGATTTTTATGGAATAGGTTGCTTAATATCTATCTGTAGCAGAGACGCTTTGTGTGCTGCCTCCTCAGCTTGTACTTCAAGCCAGAAGTGAAAAAATGTTTAAATTGCTTTATATAGTAGTTTTAGCTCTAAATCTTGAATCAACTAGGTTTTTCCCTTATGAGTTTGCACTGTCTGAAAAAGCTCTGAAGGGAAGTCTAGATATAATCTGAATCTGTAAGAGATGAGCATCACTACTTCATTTGACTTGAAGAACTCAGCTTCTACATATGGGAAGAGTTGGATTCTGTATTGTCAGCAACAAACCATAGGTCCTAACTGTTGATGCATGAGACAGCTTGCATTTAACTATTCCCTACCTTGAACATTATTTTGAAGTCCTTCAGAAGTTACCTTAAGTAGTGGGGTCAGAGTTGCTTGGCTCCTGGGCTGCATCTGGATTACAGAGCTCCTTACAGGCTGCATCCAGACCTACCTCTGGCATTCTTCAAGCCAGCTATTTTTTATATAGTGCTGGATTCTGAAAAGATCTCTCAGGTATGCCATGCTGAGAGATGCTGTGGATGCTCTGCACATGGTAATCCCTGCTCTAAGGTCCCCTCTGCACATTATGCAGCAATTAGCATGTTAATAGTGGCATAAATAGGAAAGGTAATACACATGCACCCAATTAAAGGCATTATAAAATTAGTGTTTTATATGGTGCCCTAAATTTAAGGTGTGGCCAGTAGTTGAGAATCAGATGAATTTTTTGGTCCCACCAGAGGCCCAGTGTGGGAAAGCCAAAGGGCTTCCCCTGCCTGGGATTTTAAACCCTGTGCTGAGCAGCCTGGGGAAGTAGAGGATTCTAGAGCTGCTCGGCACAGGAGTTAAAGTGCTTGCCAAGGCACTCCATGGCTTCCTAAACTGGGGACCTTAAACCCCATACTGAGCAACTCTGGCCAGCTGGGTCCAGGACTGCACTAAGGCCAATTTGAGACCATGGTGTGGTTGCTGGATCCAGCCAACAATCAATTGACTGCCAGCCAAGCAGGAACCTCACCAGCACTAGTTCCACACCTTGGTTTGGTCCCTGGCTGAGCTGACAATTGGCTGATTGACAGGCACCCAGCTTGTTGGGCATCATGATCTTGGGCTTGCTCTGCACTGGCAAAAGTGGAATAATTGGAATCTGATCCCCAGTCTCAAAATTGTTTGTCTGCTTTAAATTAATATCGGTCAGGAGCTTAAGAGGCATAGCTTACTGGGACATGCTATATTGGTGTAGTACTATGCATGCCTCTTTGCCATAGTGCCATGAGCTCCCCTTGTGCAAGGAGATAAATGCCCTCCTCCCCTTTTGAAAACCCTACATCTGCCCCAGCTATTCCAGTGGTGCTTGTAGGTGACTACTGCTGCATTCCCCTGCCCTTTCTGCCCTCAGGCAGCCCCTATGCTGATGTGGTATGCAACAGTAGCTTACAACTGTGCACTGCAGAATTCATTCAAGAAAAAAGCACCACTAGTAAGGGGATTGAATTCTATTTACCTAATGGGATTGCTACAGACACAGAGCAATGCTGCATCTATAGTAAATCACTGAGGGGTAAGGGTTTGGCTGTCTGGAGGAAAGTCTGGGTAAACTCCTTTCCAGCCTATATTGATTCTATCATTCCCTAGCTAGTCTTGCTGTAAATCACCTCACCAGCTGCTAGGTTTAAAACGTATTCTGGCATTTGGGTGTGTCTGAACCAGGCAGTTTGTAATCCTGAAGCATATGACGAATTTGAGAGATTGGAGAAACAACCACTAGGGGCCACCACATGCTTTTCCATATTTAAGTTTTTTCCAGCATCAAAAATCTGAAAGCATTTCACTTTTTTTGATAAGCTTCAATTTCTTATATATAGTCTTTCACTTACCTTTAGAAGCAGTTCCTCACTATAGAACAATGGATTAGTTATTACAGTCTCAATATTGTTCAACAAATTTGGGTAATGTGCATATCTTAATCTGCAAGTCTACAGAGATGGCTTTATTTGGATGTAAGATATTTCTGCTTTTGGATTACAAAATGAAACTTTGAACCTCTGTTTTAAAGGTTTATTTTAATGATAATCCCAAACTATCCCAATCTTAGGTTTAAAAAGCCAATGTTTAGGTCTAAAATCAGACATACTAGCTGTGTTTAGCCATATACCCATATCAAGCTGTGTGTATGCTGATCTATTTGCTTTGTTCTTGTGAACAGGCCAAGTGTGCAAAGCCTGTTCTCTACAGCTTCAGCAATTATTTGAAGCCTCCAGTATAAGGTTATGGTGATAAAATATTACAGGATTCATGTCCCCTACATTTGAAAATAAATGTCATCTTTTATCTGTCAATAGGAGGCCCTTTTATCCTGTAAAAAAAAAAAAAAAAAAAAAAAAAAAAAAAAAAAAAATATTCAAATTATTCATTGACATTATCTGCTTTCAAATGCCATAGAACAGTACAAGAACATTTGTCTGCAGCAGTTGGAATAATTCCAAAGAACAACCAATTTGCACACTACTGGCTTATCTTTCAGCAAAAAGAGTGTTGTGCAACTCGTTCAATCTCTGGCAAGATCCTTTCTGTACAGATTGGGAAAACTGGAAAACAGAAAAGGAGGATGATAAACTAGTTGATAGTGTTTACAAGCTGTGGAATAGTTTAATTTGCAAGTCAGAATTTTGTTGACAGTAAAACTTCAAAGAGGCTAACTGGTGGGCTCAGTGTCTTGCTTGTTCTGTCACTGTTTCCCTTGACCCTTTCAGGTGGGCATGATTCCAAAGGTCAGTTTGACCTGTTCAAACTCCATCCAAATGTAGCTGATGTAGAGTTGCAGGAAACATGAGATGTATTGCAAAAATATACATGTGGGTTGTTCTCATAGACCAAATTAAATTAATTGTCTATAACAATATACTTCACTTACAGAGTTCATACCAAGAGCATATGTTCAGCGCTGTAAATATACCTACATATGAGCTAGGTCCCTAGTTTTTGTCACCTGTTGTTTGAAAATGTAAAAATTGTAAGGGGTTTCTAAAGATCTGTTTGGCAAGTGAAGGAAAGCTATTATTTCTAGACACAGTATAGATGAGGCTGTAATTTGTTCCACCCTCTCCATAATTAAGATCCTGCTTTCCTTGTTTTCCAGACAGACCTGCCTGGAAAAATGGGCTTTGTGTTGCTTTTGCTACTCTGCAGACAAGAAGTAACTTAATTCCAGATGTTTCTTTCACTGTACTGTCAGCTGGTTTTGTCCCAAGAGCTGCAATGGCGTAGCAGTTTTCCTTCTTCAGGTTCACCTGCTGGACAGCTTTTGAGTCCAAATGGCTACAAATTCTGAGACTACTTTATTTTAATTTTTGAGGTGTGTGAGGTGCTGTTGCAGCTTTTCCCTGCTGAAAGGGGAGACCTCATTCCAAAATGGCAGAAATGAAGAAAACAGGCACAAGATGCCTGCCAACAAGACGATCCTGGTCCCCTGCTCAACCAAGTACTGTGGAAGAAAACTTTTGTAGGCTTCATGACTAAGAGGGGAGAGGGTCAGGATTCTAACCCAGGTTAGAAGCAGCAGCTTGTAAGAAAAATAAGTAAAGTTGTTCCCATTGACTGCTTTGTAAAGTCTAGAGCTGATCAAAAGTATACACATCTCAAATACCAAATTTTTAAAGCGTGGAAGATATCTATATGATGACAAGCACAAATTGATTTTTTTTCTGTTTTCAGGCCATCTTATACCTTCATTTTCATAATTTTTTTTTTAACTTTGCCTTCCCTTTCCTCCGTGGTTGGAATACAGTTGGCAAAGATTTGCCACATCTGTTGCAAATGGATGACGGTAGTGTGGTCTGTTCCAATATCAAGTACTGTATTTAACAGCAATATTTAGTAAGTTTTATCATTACTTACTTTACATCTTTCTGAAAGTATTATTAGGAAGTTGATAAGGAAATGTTTCCCTAGAATTTAGGTGCCAAAATCTGTTGCTCCTGAATGTGATTTCTAGTTGCAACTATGGATTTTTTTAAAGTATCAATTTTAAATTTGTTATTTTATCATGTGTATTAAATTTCTGTCTTTACTTATTTATATTTCTGGAGTGGAGAGGCACCTCCTCTGTCTATTAGCCTCTTCCAATGTGGCAAGCTTTACCAACGCCCTGGTCTCCTGCCCCTTCTGCGGGTAGAGGGAGACCCTGGCACACATGATCCTTGAGTGCGCTGGGCTGCAGCCCCTCCACCTCCTCCTGAGGTTCTGGTTGAATTTCACCGCCCATCTTGTTTTTGGTCACCCCCCTGCAGCTCCACCAAGTCCCAGGACG